GCCTAATCTTTCCTCATAAAGCAATCTGCTCATTCTAGGTTTTAGTCCAGTAAGCCTTCTCTGAATTGCTCCCGTTGCATTAAAATATGGTGAATATGGTGACCAATACTGTACACAGTACTCTAGATGTCCCTTATGTATCTGACTCTATCTTACCAATACCCTGTATAACTGAAGTATAACCTCCTTAGTCCTGTATTTAATTCGTCTCACAATAAAACCTAACATTCTACTGGTGTTGTACCAGCATACTAACCTTCTGTGAATCATACACTAGAACACCCAGATCCTTCTACACCTCAGAGCTCTGCAACCTCTCACCATTTAGATAATATGCTTTATTTTTTTTCTGCTACCAAAATGGATTATTTCATGCTTTCCCACATTCTACTCCATTCGCCAGATATTTTATTAATTAATTTTTATTTTATTAATTAATATTTGTATTCCTTCGTAGGCTTCTTAAGCCCTGTTCAGGTCCCCTGTTATTATATTTTATTAACTTTCTCTTGTATGCTAATTTTTCCTCTCATTAATCTTTTTGCAATTCTTTGCTGTTTTTGAAATTCTGTCCAACCTTCTGACCTGCCTGATCTTTACAGAATTAAGTCATTTCGTTGAGTTTGATACTATCTTTGACTTTTTTTAGTTAACTATGGATGGCAGGCCTGTCCTTTGGAATTTTTCTTGTATGTTGGAATGTATCTATTCTACACTTTCTGGAATATCCCCTTAAATGATCACCACTGCATCTCTATCTCTTAACCTAAATTGTTCATGTTTGCTAGTTCTGCTTTCATGCCCTCACTGCCCTTGTTTAAATTCAACACAGTAGTCTTGACTCACACTTCTCCCCTTTTATTGTATACAAAGTTCAAACATAGTATGATCACTGCTACCCAGGGGCTCTTTCACTATAATGTGAATAATTAATCCTATCTTGTTGGTCAAAACCAGATTTAGTGTAGCCTGCTCTCTGGTTAATGCCATAACACACAGGTCTAAGAAACTGTCCCAAAAACATTCAATGAATTCCTCCTCCAGAGTACTTTTTCACATCTTGTTTTTCCACTCTACATGTACGTAAAATTCCCCATGATAATCACTGGACCCCTATAACAAGCTCCCATGATTCCTTCCTTGGTACCCTGTGGTTACTACTGGCAGGCCAATTGCAATAAGTGACCACTTGCCATTATCATTCCTCATCTCTACCCAGACTGCTTCTATTTCCTGGTTTCCTGAATTTAGGTCATCCCTCTCTATTGTGACAAAATCATCTTTAATTAACAAAGTCACTCTTCCACCCTTTCCTAGCTTCCTGCCCTTCTAAATGTCATAAACCCTTCAATATTCAGTCCCAATCTCAGTCATTCCGCAGCCACATCACAGTAAAGGCCATGAGATCGTACTTATTCATCTCAATTTGTACTAACAGTTCAGCTGTTTTGTTTCATGTTATGTGCATTTAAATACAGTACCTTGAGTTTTGTTACTTTTATAACCTTTCATCTAAACTAGAGATGTGCTCTTAGATCTGCATTTTCTATGCCTTCCTGTCATTGTCTGTTTAGCACTCCTCACATTAATTTCTTCCTCTATTGCATTTCCCCACATTTTGATTCATTACATGTTCCTCAATTTGGGCCTTAACCGGCCACTATTTAGTTTAAAACCTGCTCTACTTTCCTAGTTATGTAGTGCACGAGAACATGAATCCTAGTACAGTTCAGGAGTAGACAATCCCATTGGTATAGATGCCACTTTCTCCAGTATTTGTGCCAGTGTCCGAGAAACCAGAATACACTTTACCCACACCAATCTTTCAGCCAGGCATTCAACTCTCTAAATAAAAACCGAAAGAACTGTGGATGCCGTAAATCAGGAACAAAAACAAAGTTGCTGGAAAAGCTCAGCAGGTCTGGCAGCATCTGTGAAGGAGAAAACAGAGTTGACATTTCAGGTCCGGTGACCCTTCCTCAGAACTGATGGTGGCTGGGAAAATGTCAGTTTATATGCAGAAAATAGGGAGGTGGGTTGGGTAGGGAGTAAACGATAGGATAGAGTCCAAAGAGAGAGGAAGACAGTTGGACAGACAAAGGAGTTGCTAACGATCAGGTTGGGAGGGTGAATAATTGTTAATGGGGACTGTTAGTGACTAACAACAGGGGGTGTGTAATAGCAGGCTATGTGGTAACAAGGCCTGGTGTGTGGGGTAAGGAGCTGGGACATGGAAGAGTTTAGGCCCTAAAATTATTGAACTCAATATTGAGTCCGGAGGGCTGTAGGGTCCCCAAGCGGAAAATGAGGTGTTGTTCCTCCAGCTTGCATTGAGCTTCACTGGAACACTGCAGCAAGCCAGAGACAGAGATGTTGGCCAGGGAGCAGGGTGGTGCATTGATGTGGCAGGCGACAGGTAGTTCAGGTTCTTTTTTGTGAGCAGAACGTAGATGTTCTGCGAAGCGGTCGCCAAGTCTACGCTTCATCTGGAAGGTATGTTTGGGCCCTTGGATACTGGGGAGGGAGGAGGTAAATGGGCAGGTGTTGCACCTTCGCCGGTTACAGGGGAAGGGCCGTAGGGCTGTGGGGAGGTGTTGGGGGTGAAGGAAGTGTGGAGCAGGGTGTCCCAGAGGGAACAGTTCCTGCGGAAGGCGGACAAGGGAGGGGAGGGGAATATGTGTCTGGTGGTGACATCTTGCTGGAGGTGGCAGAAATGGCGTCTGATGATCTTCTGGATGTGGATGCTGGTGGGATGGTAGGTGAAGATAAGGGGAACCCTATTGCTGTTGCGGGAGGGAAGAGAAGGGGTGAGGGCAGAAGTGCAGGAGATGAGTTGGACCTGGTTGAGGGCCCTGTCGACAATGGAGCTGGGGAATCCTCGGTTGAGGAAGAAGGTGGACATTTCGGAGGCTCCCTTGTCAAAGTTGGCCTCATCTGAACATACGGAGGAACTGAAAGAATGGGATGGAGTCTTTACAGGAAGTGGTGAGTGAGGATGTATAATCCAGGTAGCTGTGGGAGTCAGTGGGTTTATAATGGATATTAGTGGCCAGTCTATCCCCAGAAATAGAAACAGAAATGTCGAGGAAGGGAAGGGAGGAGTCAGAGATAGACCAGGTGAAAGTCAGGGCAGGGTGGAAATTGGAGGCGAAATTGATGAAGTTTTCCAATTCCAGACGAGAGAGGGAAGCAACACCGATGATATCATTGATGTATCGGAGAAATAGTTATGGGTGGGGGCTGGAATAGGACTGGAACAAGGAACGTTCCACGTACCCCACGAAGAGATAGGCATAACTAGGGCCCATGTGGGTACCCATGGTAACCCCTCTTACCTGAAGAAAATGAGAGGAGTTGAAAGAGAAACTGTTGAGGGTGAGGACAAGCTCGGCCCAGCAGAGGAGGGTGGTGGTGGGTGGGGATGGTTCAGGTCTTTGCTCCAGGAAGAAGCGGAGAGCCCTAAGACCCTCCTGGTGGGGAATGGACGTGTAAAGGCATTGAACATCCATGGTAAAGAGGAGGTGGCTGGAGCCGGTAAACTGGAAGTTTTGAAACCGGCATAAGGCGAAGAGATGAATCATGGATGTATGTGGGTAGGGATTGGACCGGGGGGGAGAAGACTGAGCCAAGGTAGGAAGAGATGAGTTCTGTGGGGCACAAGCAGGCTGAAACAATGGGTCTCTGCATAGCCTGTATGAAGAATTAATACTACTGCATTCAATTCTGGTCACCACATTACAGGAAGGATGTGGAGACTTGGAGACAGTGCAGAAGACATTTACTAGGATGCTGCTTGGATTAGAGGGTATGAGCTGTAAGGAGAGACTAGAAAAACTTGGGTTGTTTTCTCTAGAGTGCGGAGGCTGGGGAGATATTTGAAAGAAGTTTATAAAATTATGAGATGCATAGATAGGGTTGACGGTCAGAATCTTTTTGCCGGAGTTGAAATGTCTAATACTAGGTAGCATGCATTTAAGGTGAGGGGGGGAAGTTTAAAGGAGATGTGAGGAGTATGTGTCTAACCTGGTTTACCCACTGCCAATTGGCATGTGGCTCAAGTAATAATCGTGAAATAATTATCTTTGAGGTTCTACCTTTCAATTTGGTGCCTAGTTAGAATTCAGGCCTTAGAACAGCACAACCCACAATGTTGTGCTGAACATGACGCCAAATTATCCCTTCTGCCTGCCATGGGTCCTTATCCCTCCATCCCTTGCATATTCATGTGCTTATCTAAAAGTCCCTTAAATGCCCCTATCATATCTGTCTCCATGACTACCCTTGGTAGTGCGTTCCAGACTCCTACCACTCTCTGTGTAAAAAACATGCTCCTCACATCTCCTTTAAACTCCACCCCCCTCACCTTAAATGCATGCTACCTAGTATTAGACATTTTAAGTCTGGCAAAAAGATTCTGACCGTCAACCCTATCTATGCTTCTCATAATTTTATAGACTTCTTTCAAGTATGTCCCTAGCCTCCGCCACTCTAGAGAAAACAATCTGAGTTTTTCTAGTCTCTCCTTATAGCTCATACCCTCTAATCCAGGCAGTATCCTGGTAAATGTCTTCTGCACTGTCTCCAAATCTCCACATCCTTCCTGTAATGTGGTGACCAGAATTGAATGCAATAATATTAATTCCTCATTCAGGCTATGCAGAACTTCTTTCCTAGCTCTGCCAATGTCATAGGTGCCTCCATCGATCATGACAAGTTCCCAGTATTTAATTGGAGGACATTTCTGCTTGTCCAGTGGTGGAATTTGGAACAATATTGTGACAATGTAGAGATACTGGGAGGAAGGGAGTGATATGGTGCTGATGTCAAGCTGGTTATGGTCATTTTACATGGGAAAAACTAAGGTAGTGTTGAAATTGAGGCAATGGAGGGGGCAATGACCTTGGAGAGGAAAGAAGGGGTGGAGGTGGGTAATAGTTTCTAAGGAGGAGGGGTTGCACCCAATAAAGAAAGTGATTAAGCAGCTAGTTTTTTTTTAACAGCCTATGAAAGCACAGCAGATATTCGAGTCATCAAAACAAACTACCAGGAATATGCATTTTTCCTGTTGAACACAATGGAAGCAGTGACCCGCTCAGAGTCAGTGGCCCTATACGGTAAGAGATTCTACATCAGCTCGTCCACTCACCACTTTCTAAGGGTGATTTCTGGATCTTTAACTCAATGTCCACCTCCTAGGAAGGACACGGAAACTGAGGAAGGAGATCAATGACGAGTTCAAAGACTTTGCATTGAGACATGGAATCCCAGAGGAGAGGGTCTTATTTCTGCCTGAAAAAGGTAAGCACATCATGAGCCCCTGAGCCCCATTGCAACCTGTCATTCATTCCCAGTTGTGTGCTACTCCATTAGAAAAACAAAAATCTGGTTTAGATTCCAGCAACATAAACAATCAATACCTCCACCAGCGATGTTCAATCGCAGCATTGTGTACTGTTTCCAAGATGCACTGCAGTAACTTACCGAGACTCCTTAGGAAGCACCTTCCAAACCCATGACCACTTCGATCCAGTGGGACATGGGCAGTAGCTACATGGGAACACTAGCCGCTGCAATTTCCCCTCCAAAGCCACTCACATCCTGACCTGGAAATATATAGCTATTTCTTCAGTGTTGCTGAGCCAATATCCCATAACTTCCTAACAGCATTGTGGGTGGCTGGTATTATATGTTACAACAGGAATGGTTAGAAAAGACAGCTCAAAACCACCTTCACAAGGAGCAATGAGAGTTGGGCATTAAAGTCTGGTTTACCCAGTGACATTCCAATAACAAATAATACAATAACAAACTCAGGCTGAACAACACTAGACACTTGTCTCGCCATTACCAGCTCAATGTGCTGCTATTCCTCTTACATTCAGAATCACTTTCATTCTAAAACAGAAAGAGAGAGAAAAGAAGAGGGAAAAGGAGGGAAAGATCAAGAGTGACAAAATAGAGAAAAGAGTCAGAGAGAAGTAAAACAAAGTGAACACCAGTTCCCCTGTTTTGTACCTGATAGGGACTCACTGAGATCTGATTGTCATACTGTGGTTTGGATGACAAAGATAATTAATGATTATGGATCCCTCCTGACTCCCTCTGGTTTTGAATGACCATCATGAAATGTTGATGTTGATTAGTGTTTATAGACAAGATCCTAACTGTGTGTCTGTTTCTAACAGGAGCATGTCTTCCATGGGACCCCATCCCAGAGTCACCAGTCAAGGTGAGGCAATCAGTCAGTCACTTCCTGAGTAGCCGACTATTCGGCCATGAGCACAGATAGTGTTTGAATTGAGTGTTGCAGTGATCGGTGTTTGGGAGATCTACTGAACAGGGTGGCTCAGCGACTGGTTGTAGGTCATTCATAAAGTGACATACATAAGGGATTAGTGATGGGAACTCTGCTGACCAGGGAGGTCCTGTGTCTGTTACTGGGGAGATGGAAAACAGCTTGATGTGGTCCAAAAGGAATTTAACAAAGCATCACATGATGACTATCAGTTTAACCTCGGTGTTGGGAATGATAATCTGTGGTAAACCCGACAGCTGTTATTGTATGAGATAATAAGGTGTAGAGCTGGATGAACACAACAGGCCAAGGAGCATCAGAGGAGCAGAAAAGCTGACGTTTCGAGTCTGGACCCTTCTTCATCCAGACCCGAAACTTCAGCTTTCCTGCTCTACACCTTGTCATCTCAGATTCTCCAGCGTCAGCAGTTCCTACTATTTCTGAATCAGCTGTTGTTGTATGTTGGTTAGCCTGGTTTCAGAATGTTTAAACAATAGCTGGTTTATTACTGAATGGCCTGCACTCCACATGCTTCATCTGACAGTGCTGAACCATGGGCTTTCTCAGCCAGCTCTCAGTCATGTGCCCCATTACTTCATCATTATGGGTGGAGCTATTTAGTCAGTCCCACAAATCAACCCCACTCACTCTCATAAGTCAGGCATGTGCAAAAGTATGGAGTCATCTCAAAGAAAACCAGCATTGATCTGATAAATCCTGTGAACTCAATTGTGGTTTTTGCTGAAGCTAACAGGAGGATTGAGGAGGGTAATGCAGTCAAAAGTTTCCAAAAAGTGCTTGATAAAGGGCCACAGAACAGTCTTCTCAACAAAGGGGCATTGGCTGCAAGGGTATAGCACTGTTTGAAGCACAGGAGTGGTATCTAGCTATTTTCAGACCAGAGGATGGGTTCTAGTGACATTTCTGAGGGGTTCATATGAGAGATATTGCTTCTCAGAATCATTATTAGTGATTTAGAATCATAAAATCCCTACAGTATAGAAACAGGCCATTCGGCCCATTGAGCCAACACCAACCCTCTGAGCAGCATCCCACCCAGACCCACCCCCATAAACCTGCATTTCTCATGCCCAATCCACCTAGCTTGCACATCTCTGGATGCTATGGGCAGTTTAACATGGCCAAACCACCTAACCTGCACATCTTTGGATAGTGGGAGAAAAGCAGAGCACCTGGATCCAACCCATGCAGGTGTGGGGAGACTGTGCAAACTCTACACAGATAGTTCACCTAAGGCTGGAATTGAACTTGGGTCTCTGGCGCTGTGAGGCAGCAGTGCTAACTATTGATCCACCACGCCACCAGTTAGGCTTAACAAAATTTCAGAACTTACAGAGAATATAAAACTTGGAAATTTTGTGAACTATGAGGAGAGTAGTGACAGTCTTCTTACAGAATATACAAGCTAATGCATGGGGCAGCAACAAGAACAAGGAGAAATAATAAAAATAAAAAGTAAAAAAAAATTCTGAATGAGATACATAAGCCGAGGGAGCTTGTGGTGTAGGTGGGAGCTGGACAGACAGGGGATGATAAGGTCCTAGACCTGAGAAACAGGAATAAGGCACACAAATAATGAAATGGTCATGAACCCTTCAGAAAACCTACTTCATCTGCAACCAGAGTGGAATTTCACAGAGTCTGTTGGAGTGGTCTAATGGTGCAGAGGGGGCTGGGGGTGAGGGAGAATTAGATGAGAGGTTCTGGGTCTGACCCTCAATGACAGAGAAGTGTCCTGCATTGAGTCAGAGCCAGTAGTGGCCTGACATGAGAACGCCTCACACCAGAGACAGAATGTTCCTGAGGGTTCATTAAAGAACCACTGAATCCAAAAATCCTTGAACCCTGCTGGATCTCCTGGTGCTCAGGGATTTCACTGGACCTTGGACAGTTTACCCCAGTCCTCAATTACCTAATGGGATGAGCTAATGGGATTGCTAGTGGCCTACAGGGGCATTCCTTTGTGCTCAGGCACCCAGTTACTCACTGTGCGAACCAGCATTGGGAAATGGGGTTGGGGGGGGCGGTGGTAATAGGGTGTAGGGAGGTTTCTGAAAACCAGGGCTCCTGTTCTAGCAGCCAAGTCTCACCAGATCCCTACACCAAGGCCCCCTCTCACCCACACAGACCTCTCTCTCTCTCCAGTGATGCTGTCACGAGCCCTGGAGAGGGTGTCATTGAAATACAGCCAGTGGCCAGCACTCCCACTGGCACTGCTGGTACTGGGCAGCTGCCATCCTCTGATTGGCCAGCTTGTTTCAGAATGGGATTTCTGTCCAACTGGGGCCATGTTGGTGTGGAAGGTCCACTGCTGTTTAAAAGCTTGTTTGGGCTTCAATAGCATCAGACTTCCAATGGAAAGGCTGACTGTGTTGCCGGGAATTTTCCAGCCATGTGCAGTGTCCTCTTCACGTTCATGAAGTTCTACACATTGTGTCCAATTCCAGACCGCACACTTTAGGAAGGATCCAAAGCCTTTAGAGAGGCTGCAGGTAAACTGTACTTGAGTGGTTCCAGGATGAGGGACTGCAGTTACGAGGACAGACTGGGGAGTCTGAGGCTGTTATCCTTTGAGAGGAGATTTGATGGAGCTGCTCAAAATCGGGAGGGATCTGGACTGAATGGATCGAGTGAAACTGTTTCCAATGGCGGAAGGCTCGAGTAGCAGATGGCACTGATTTCAGATGATGAATTAGCAAAAGAAGCCAAGAAAACACAAAGTAACATTTTTAACAAAAACAAAATTTGCTGGAAAAGCTCAGCAGGTCTGGCAGCATCTGTAAAGAAAAAATTCAGAGTTAACATTTTGGATCTGGTGACCCTTCCTCAGAACTGACGGTAGCTAGGAAGATGCAGCTTACATGCAGAAGTTAGGGAGGGGGATAGAGTAGGGAGTAAATTATAGGATAAAAGATAGAGTCCAAAAAGACAGAAGAGCAGTTGAATAGACAAAGGAATTAATAACGATCTGGCTAGGAGGGTGAATAGCTGTTATGGGGACTGTTAGTAACTAACAACAGGTACTGTGTAATAAGATAGTAAGAACTGCCGATGCTGGAGTCTGAGATAACAAGGTGTAGAGCTGGATGAACACAGCAGGCCAGGCAGCATCAGAGGAGCAGGAACGCTGGCATTTCGGGTCTGGACCCTTCTTCAGAAAGGGTCCAGACCTGAAACGTCAGCTTTCCTGCTCCTCGGAGGTACTGTGTAATGGCAGGCTATACGATAACAAGGCCTGGTGTGTGGGGTAGCCGCCTAGGACATGGGAGAGTTCAGGCCCTAAAATTATTGAGCTTGATATTGAGCCTGGAGGACTGCAGGGTTCCCAAGCAGAAAATGAGGTGCTTTTCTTTGAGCTTGCGATGACCTTCCCTGGAACACTGAAGCAAGCCTGAGATAGAGATGTTGGCTAGGGAACGGGGTGGTGTGTTAAAGTGGCAGGCAACTGGAAGCTCAGGGTCTTTTTTGTGAGCAGAACGTAGATGTTCTGCAAAGCGGTCACCCAGTCTATACTTCACTTCCCCAATGTAGAGGAGACCACATTGTGAGCAGCGAATGCAGTAGACTAAATTCTAGGAAGTGCAGGTGAAGTGTCACTTTACCTGGAAGGTATGTTTGGGCCCTTGGATACTGTGGAGGGAGGAGGTAAATGGGCAGGTGTTACACCTTTGCCGGTTACAGGGGAACGTGCCGTGAGGCTGTGGGGGGTGTGTTGAGAGTGAAGGAAGAGTGGATCAGGGTGTCCCAGAGGGAACGGTCTCTGAGGAAGATGGACAAGGGGCGGGGGAGGTGGAATCTGTGTCTGGTGGTGGCATCTCGTTGGAGGTGGCGGAAATGGTGTCTGATGATCTTCTGGATGTGGATGCTGGTGGGATAGCAGGTAAGGACAAGGGGAACCCTATTGCTGTTGCGGGAGGGAAGAGAGGGGTTGAGGGCAGAAGTGCGAGAGATGGGTTGGACCCAGCTGAGGGCCCTGTCGACAACGGTGCTGGGGAATTCTCGTTTGAGGAAGAAGGTAGATATTTCAGAGGCTCCCTTGTCGAAGTTGACCTCATTTGAACATATGCGACAGAGACGCAGGAACTTAAAGAATGGGATGGAATCTTTACAGGAAGCAGGGTGCGAGGATGTATAGTCCAAGTAGTTGTGGGAGTCGGTGCATTTATAGTGAATATTAGTGGCCAGTCTATCCCCAGAAATGGAAACAGAGATGTTGAGGAAGAGAAAGGGGGGAGTCAGAGATAGACCAGGTGAAAATGAGGGCAGAGTAGAAATTGGAAGCGAAATTGATGAACTTTTCCAATTCCGGAGAAGAGAGGGAAGCAGCATGGATGATATCATCGATATATCAGAGAAAGTTGTGGAGGCCAGAAAAGGACTGAAATAAGGAATGTTCCACATACTCCATGAAGAGACAGGCATTACTGGAGCCCATGCTTTTAAAGGCAGTGGGTTGTTGGCATCTGGAATGTGCTGCCTGTGAATGTGGTAGCGACAGATTCAATCAGAATTTTCAAAAGGAAATTGGAACTGAAACTCTAAGTTTTAATTAGATCCCCCTCATCTTCTAAACTCCATTGAGTACAGACTCAGAGTCTTCAACCTCATGTAGAGTCATAGAAAGAACAAAGAACAATACAACACAGGAATAGACACTTCGGCCTTCCAAGCCTGCGCCGACAAATTTTGACCTTCCTTAATAAGACTGTCTTCACTTTCAGGATCCATATCCCTCTATGCCCTTCCTATTCGTGTATTCATCCAGGTGCTTCTTGAACGCTGCTACTGTGTTTGCTTCCACCACCTCCTCTGGTAGCACGTTCCAGGAATTCGCCACCCTTTGTGTGAAAAACTTACCTCGCACATTTCTTTTAAACGTCCCCTTTTACACCTTGAACTTGTGTCCCCGGTAA